GAAATGGTATAGGGTTTCCTGCCTGAGCAGGGGGTTGGACTAGATGACCTCCAAGGTCCCTTCCAACTTTATTATTATCATCATTATTATTATTAAAGTGCTCCCTCCTGCTTTCCAGATGTGGATGGCTGCCAGAGGGGGTTGAGCCCCTTTCCCCCCCCCCGTCGAAGGTGGAGGGGCTGTGCCCGCCTTTTGCGTGGCTTGTGCCGGGGCTGCTGCCAGCTGAGCAGGTTCTCCCGGAGCCCTGGAGTTTCTCAACTGTCCCAGGAAACTCTCCTCCCCCCCCCCCGGCCCTTGATGTGGGGCGCCCAAGGCTGTGTGAATCTCCCAAACGGTTGTCAGAAAGGGGGAATCACTCTTGCTTGGCACAGAGCAGGTTGTAGGTGTGGCCGCTCCTGTCTGGTGTGCCAGGCCTCCTGCCCGGGAATTGGCATGGCTTCCTTTGCTCCCTGTCCTCCTTTTGGCCCCTGCTTTAAGGCGCGCAATATTTGTCTCTGCTTCCCTCTCGCCCCCTCGTTTGCTTCACCTGGGTATGTCCCAGACCAGCCCCGGGGACTTTGGGCCTATGAGTAGCTGCTCTGAACAGTGGCATTTCCTGCTAGATGCCAGCCAAAGGGAGGAGCGGCACAGAGGCCTCTCCGGGACCCAGGCTGAGCGGCCAAAACTTCCAGTGTTGGCGCATTCACTGCTTCTGGAGGCAGGTTGTTCCACTGGTTAATTGTTCTCACTGTCAGGAAGTTTCTCCTTAGTTCTAGGTTGCTTCTCTCCTTGATGAGTTTCCATCCGTTGCTTCCTGTCCTGCCTTCAGGCGCTTTGGAGAATAGCTGGACTCCCTCTTCTTTGGGGCAGCCCCTGAGATACTGGAAGACTGCTATCATGTCCCCCCTCGTCCTTCTCTTCATTAAACTGGACATACCCAATTCCAGCAACCATTCCTTATATGATTTGGCCTCCAGTCCCCTAATCATCTTTGTTGCTCTTCTCTGTACTCTTTCTAGAGTCTCAACATCTTTTTTACATTGTGGTGACCAAAACTGGATGCTGTATTCCAAGTGTGGTCTTACTAAGGCATTGTAAAGTGGTATTAATACTTCACGTGATCTTGATTCTATCCCTCTGTTAATGCAGGTCTGCCCTCTCTTGGGGACGGGAGGGCGAGGAGGCAGCCAGAGGTTCCCTTCTGCAGTGGTGACCTCCAGGGTCCCCTGGGCATGTGCCAACTGTCCCGGGCAAGAATGCCCGGGGGTTTTGCCTAGGAAAACGGCTGTTCTGAGTGCGGCTGGGGGGGGCGGCAGTGGCATTGTGTGCTTAGGGTGGGGCTGGACCAGCAGAGCAACTACCAAAGGCAAATCCTGCACAAATCCTGTTGACTCTGGCTGAACGCTGGGGAAACTGCCCAGCTGGTTGGAAGAGTCTCTTCCTGCCAAGTGGGCACTGTGCCCGTTGGGGACTGAGGAGTGGTTGCTGGCAGGTGCAGCGTCCTGGGTGCAAAGAGAGGCTGGCTGGCTGGCTGGCAGTGCCTGTGGAGGTGGTCCAGGGCTGCCTGATGATCCTCAGCAAGACTCAGCCGGGGGTCCTGTTTGTACCCTGGTCACTAGCTGTGGAAGTGGAGGGTGCCTGCTGGGAGGAGACTTGTCAGGTGGGCAGGGTCTCTGCCAGGGCTTTCGAGCAATGACCGGCCCCTCCCCATCTCTGCCTGGAAAGAGGGAGGCCCCGATGCTGCCTGGGGCTGGGTGATACCAGCCTTGCCACCTGTCCTTGTCCTTCCAATCCTATATGTCTCTTCCCCCCCCAGGCGCCTGGGCAGCCCCTTTGAGCTCAGAAAAGGCTTGCAAGGAACCAGGCATTCCTCTCACAGAGAGACAAGAGGGGGTGGGCCCCTAAGAGCCTCAATTATAGTATCAGCCCCCCCCATACTATAATTGGAGGGGAGCAAGCAGCCCCATCTGGCCCCAAATACCTGGCAAAGCCCCCAACCAGGAATAGCCGGGAGCAGGGGAGAGGTGGGGTGCCTGTGGGTCTGAGGGATTTGGAAGGGGGGGGTGGGGGTTAGGCAAGCAAACAGCTGTTTTGCCTCTCCTTGTTCCCTCCCTCCCTGCCTGCCTGGAGGCTCCATGCCTGGGGAAGCCCCTGGCACAAGCCATGCAAAACGCCAGCAGAGCCCTCCATCTTTGGGGGGGGCAGAGGCTCAACCGTCTGCAGCAGCCATCCACATCTGGAAAGTGATCCCTGACTTTACAGGCAGCAGCACCCCTTCTGTGCCTCGGTTTCCCAGCAAGGAATAGGGAGCATTCTGGCTGGGCTGAAGCCTGCCCTCAGGCCAGGTCTCCGGGCAGCGTGCCAAGCTTCTGGGCAAGGGTGTGCGCCAGAGATTTCTCCACCCTGCCCTCCCCCTCCCCACAGCTGCCCAGAAGTTTGTGGAAGGAAACTCTGAGAGGGACGCCCCTCCCCTCCCTTCCCTGCTGAGTCAGGCGCAGCAGCCGCGGGTGGAGAGGGAGGGAGGGAGGGAGGGAGGGGGTGGAGGAGCATGTGCTCCCCCTGCGGTCGGGCGGGGAAGGGGGGCTCGGGCGGGAGGCTCCTTGAGGCCGGGCAGAGGGAGGGAGGGAGGGAGGGAGGGAGGGAGGCAGGTCCAGCCCAGCAGAGCCTGCCTTCCCGTCCCGGCTCCCCGTCGGCGAAGGCTCTGCTGCTCCCTTCCAGAAGCCGGCCGGCCCTCTGGCAACATGGTGGCCGGCATGCTGATGCCGCTGGGCCAGCTGCGCAGCATCTACGAGCTGCTGTTCCGGGAGGGCGTGCTGGTGGGGCAGAAAGACCCCCGCCCGCGTAGCTTCCACCCGGAGCTGCCCGGGGTCAGCCACCTGCAGGTCTGGCGGGCCATGGGCTCCCTGCGCTCGCGGGGGCTGGTCCGCGAGAACTTCGCCTGGCGCCACTGCTACTGGTACCTGACGGACGAGGGCATCGCCCACCTCCGCCAGCACTTGCGTCTGCCGCCAGAGATCGTGCCCACCACCCTGCAGCGGGCCCGCCGCCCCCTGCCCGCCGCCCGGCCCGCCTCGCGCGCCCCCGGCCTGCAAGCCGTGCGGGGCCCGCTCTCCC